AAACCTAACATGTCTACGAAATGTGTACCGAGTTTTATCAACCAGTTACTACGTTTACCAAGTTTTCATCATCAAATACCGAGAAAATCGAACAAAACCTAATACCGAATACCGATTAGTACCGAGTTTTAGAATGCGTACCGAGTTTTAAAAACAACCAGAAATGTTTACCATATCCCTAAAACTCGGTACTCGGTATTTGATAACGAGATAAACAATATCATAACAATGATAATTTTTCAGTAAATCGTTTCGAACCTCAGGCATTATATCTGCGACGGTTTTCGAAAGGAGAATACGAAGAACTACGAAGGAAATGCTGGAGAACTACGAAGGAAATGCTGGAGAACTCCAAAGGAAATGCTGGAGAACTCCGAAGGAATTGCTGGAAAACTAAAAACGAAGTAAACAGTAACAGGGATTCGAATCGCCGTAAAAAGGTGAAGGTTGCTGTTCGAAGTGTTTGCGATGTCTTCCATTTAAAAATTAACACGTGCGATAACTCAAAATACAGCGGGTCGGGTCGGCGACTTTTCTTCATGCTACGTGGCGTAAATACATTGGTGGCCGAACGTAGAGGAGCGTACCTTCGCAGGAGCCTCTTTCTTTATTGTTGCTGCCACTGGATTTTCTGCTGCTGCTACTGCTTTGTCTGCTTCCTTCTTATCACCAACTGGAAGAAATACGATTCCAGAAATAAACAAAGTATGAGAAATAAGTAAAGCCAATGAGAATAGTACAAACCGGTGGCAGTTGATGGTTCCTGCAAGGTTGAATATAGGATGATTCTGTGTGCAATTTTTGCTGTTTCAAATCTATAATAACTGATTGGTTGAGAATGTAAGCTGAATTTTACAATCCGAGGATGAATGGGCTATAACAAGCCACTGTAGTAGAGGAGAGTAAGCAGCTGTAGATGATTCGCGAGAATGGTTAGATAAAAGAGATGAAATTGCTCAATTCATGTGGACTCGCATGCAAAATGATGGATATTAGATTTATTAATTTCTGTTTTATGAATTTACATTTAACTTACTAATTTCTACTTTTACTTTGTTGTTTTTATTGAATAATTGATATATTTTGTATTGTTCTACTACTCCCCTGGATTATGATGAGAAGCTTATGTTTTTATATTCACAAAAGTCTTACCTCTGAGATCTCTTCTATTTTGTATTGCTCTACTACTCTCCTGGAAAGTAGAACATTTGCTTATTAAGTTCATCATTATTTGACTTGTGCTGCTTATATTCCCTACAAATATAATCAATGTAATGCCAATGAAATTTCTTGTCATCTGTCATCTATGAATGTTTACTTCTTCAATTATTTTTGTACTTTTCATTGCCTTTGTTTTTTTTTTTTTTTTTTTTTGCCTGCTTTGTTATTGGTTTTCCTGTAGTTTGTCAAGTTAAATTATCCTAATTTTTTTTATTTTAATTTTCTATACTCAAGATATTTTACTAGTGTAGATCATATCTTCATCCTAATTTAAGATCATCGTATCTGTTCTGAATAGCTTATGCGATCTAACAATAAGAGGGCATTTAAGTTTATTTTTTATCCATCTTTACTTTAAGCAGCAAGTTTTAAAAATTATACAGTGTCCGGTTTGTTCCTGCTTAGTTTTATTTTGCTTTTCTGAAGCAGGATTAACATATTTTAAGTGTTGCTGCGGCAGAACAACAAATTCTGGTATCTTCCACAAGTTCACTTGTAACAATTACTAACTATCTATTTCATCAGAATGAGATGATTCACGAGAATGGTTAGATAAAAGAGATGAAATTGCTCAATTCATGTGGACTCGCATGCAAAATGACTTAAAGCAGCAAGTTCTAAAAATTATACAGTGTCCGGTTTGTTCCTGCTTAGTTTTATTTTGCTTTTCTGAAGCAGGATTAACATATTTTAAGTGTTGCTGCGGCAGAACAACAAATTCTGGTATCTTCCACAAGTTCACTTGTAACAATTACTAACTATCTATTTCATCAGAATGATATGCGGCTAACTAAAGTTATGAAGACAAAACTAAACAAACAAGCTTGATCCTCTTCCATGTGCCTGATGACCTGCATTGTTTGATTCTTATGATTTACAGCAAAATTGTGTATAAAATGTACGAATACTAAAATTTTCTTATGATTTATGTAAGGGAGAATGAATTTGTCACAAACAGAGATGAAAGGTAATTTGAAGACGAAGAGGAAAAAATTTTTTATGGAACTTAAAACCTGAGTGGATAGCTGGATTGCTTCAAATAAAATATGGAATACATTTAAGTAGTTGAAGATTGACATATCTATTAAACTGTTTCGTGTTAATTTGTTGTCATTATAACTACGAATAATTGGTATATTTTTATTTTTGGTTTTTTAATTATACATTTTCATTAATGGTGTTTACATGTTATGATTGAGAATTATGTTATTTATTGATTGATAATTGAAAACAATTGATTTTATCGTGAATTTAATCAAAGAAATCGGTTTGACAATTTAGTTTTTCAACAATTTTTTTGTAAAAAAAATTACTTGAAAAATAAAAATTTAAAATTTTTTACAAATTGAAAATTAAAATTTTTCTCTATCACATGTATATTTTCGTCTATTGCAGCACACTGTTAAATTAATACATAGCATAATTTTATATCTTTTAAAAAAGTATAATATTTACATGCAATAAATAAATACATTGATTTTATTTTATAAAACCAAATAATAATTATTATTATAAAGATAATGTTTTTATAAAATAAACTTATTTTAATGCCAAAATAAATTATTTAAAAAAATCAATTTTACTTTACTTTGTATATAACTAATCAAACAAGGGAAACAATTCTCCTGCGTTTATTTTGCAGACAACCAAACATATTCAAAGTATTCGCGATGCATTACATTTATTTTACATTAGGAGTGTAAAGTAAAATAATTACATGCATTTACTAATTTTAGTTGTTTGGTTAATTTTGAGTGGAACGAAACAAATACCTCTGAAGCAATAGTGGGGTATTAGGGGAGGCAGTTTGCGTGACTTTGAAACCCCCGGTTAGGAATTCTTTGCGGCTGTTGCGATGCTCCACTGCACATGGCAAAGAAATCAGAGTGGCACTAGTTGGATCCCCTTGGGGTTGGATTCCTCGACGAGCTGGGCGAATATATCTCAGCGCCCGTGAGATTCGACGGCCGGGGCGTCATCAGCGAGATGGATCGCCTAGACGACGTGGACTTTCTCACAGTTACATGGATCTTGCCATCACCTCCCATCTCTGCTTCTGGAGAAAATCTCGCCCTCCGTCGAGAGAGGTGATGTCTGAGTATTAGGGGAGGCAGTCGGCAATAAGAATCTGGACCAATCGAATATCCCCATCACTCAACAACTCTTCACACCACCGCCACGGCAGCCTCACCACCACCACCACCATTTCCAACTCTTTCAAGCCAATAATCACAACCACCGCCGCCTTATCCCCAATTCACCTTCCCTTCCCTCGACCACGATCAAAATCCAGAGAATTCCGGCGGCGGCGCGTTGATTCACGGCGACGGCGGCCCGTCGCCTCCTTTTCTCCCCGCCGACATGAAATTTAAACTCTCCGTCGACGACAGCAGCGGCAGCATTTTCCACGGCGAAAATGCCTCAGAGAGCCGATTCCGTTCATGGAATAGAGAAGACTGCACCATAAAGGAGCCGTTTTGGTAAATACTACCTACCTATCCTTAAAGATCCCAAATTCAAAAGTTCTACTTTTTTCTTATTTTATAATTATAACTCTTTTCAGGCGGCCATTAGATTTAGACTACATTAATAGCAACAACAAGCGGTGCAAAGAGGAGTCAGCGAAGCTCCATTTTGCTAAGCGAAGCAGAGGAATTACAGAGGAGCTGGAGAATTCCCATCCAGGCAACAATTACAAACTCTACAGCGAGCTTGAAGCCATTTACAAACCTGGCGGCAATAATTCCACTGCCACCGAACCAGTCAACATTAACCAAACCACCGGCTCCAGCTCTGCTCTCACCGGCTCCGGCTCCGCTCTCACTAGGCAGAGCCATAAGTGAGGATCATTACGTAGAGTGGCACTATGGCTGTGAGGATGGAGTAAAGGTCTGTCAGGGTGATCATTTCGCCTGTGTTATAATGACAAAAAAAAATTACAAATGCACTGATTTTAGTTTACATTGGATATATCTAATTAAACAAGGGAAACAGTTCTCCTGCGTTTATTTTACAGACAATCAAACAACCTCAAAATATTGGAATACGCTACATTTACTTTACCCTACATTTACTTTACACTGCATTTACTTTAGAGGCAACCAATCAACCCCTTAAAGAAGTAGACAGGCAAAACAGAGAAAAATACCGTTACAATTTCCTTCCAATGTAACTATGCTTAAAATCAAATCAGCTTGATATTCAAATCTACAGAACCCTAAACACAAAAGCACATTCAGAAGAGGATGAATTTGAATGACCAAAACAATCTCCTTGTAATTGAAGAGGAATATGACCGCACACATCAAATTCTGTTCAGACTCAGTATTGCTTGCGCTCTTCTCTTTTTTACCAAGTTACAAATCACAATTAGTAAACTGGAACACCCTAATTCACATACAGGGCCTGTTTCCTAGCCCCAAAGTCAGCCAACGGTTTCCCGCCACCAAACAATTCAAACTCTCGGGTTAGATTAGATCCATCAATCAATTCTTTCTTCCCTTCCGTTCTGTTATCGCCGCCGACAAAGTCCCAGGACCTCCGCCGCCGCCCCCGAGGGCGACTGCAGCAGACTCCACATGAGTCAGGAGATACTCATATATCTTCTTTCTCAGCCTCTCCACTGTCTCTTGTGGCAAGCCACCAGTCCTGCTTTGATGCCCACCCTCCTCTCCCAAATCATCCCTCTTTCCGATGCTATCGAGCCAATCGTTTACTTTCTTCAGATGGGAGAGCATTCCGGCAACCAACTCTCGATCCCATGGCAGCCTTGAAACCCCACTGGCTTCTCCATCCAGAAAACTCTCCACAAACCTTACAAACCAGTTCTTGGCCTCCTCCTCCAATGCCCTTGCTAGCTCCACTCCTTCCTCCAATCCACCCCCCTTTTCCCATTGCCTTGCTGGGGGTGATACAGTCGCAGTCGTCGGTCGCTGCTTCCCTGCCTTTGTAGCAGTTGCAGGTGCCCGCTGCTTGGCTTTTGATGATGGTGCTGTCACCTTGACCGCACTGTCTAGAACTGCGACTGCTCGTTGCGGCGTGCCGCAGGAAGACAAGGACTGGGACTTGTGGGTATAGAGGGAGAGTGGTGAGAGGTCGGTGCCGAGGGCGGCGTTCACCCAAGCCATTGCACGACAGTGGTTTTCAGAGGAAAGGCGGGCGGTGTCCTCTGCGATAATGGTAGTGCTGCTGGCTGGAGATTGATCTGGTGAGCTGCAGCGGCAAGCTCTGGAAGACTTCAGTGATTCAGAGACGAGGCCTGCACGGGCGAGATTCGAATGTAGGCTGAGAAACTGTTCCACAACTGGCTGCGGGTTATCCTCCTTCGCCGTAGAAGATAACTCGGCATAAATGCTGCAAGGATTAACAGAGGAACGAATTTTTATGCCAGAAGCTAATTAACCTAATTAATAAAGATGAAGCACCACACAACAGCCATTTTTAACACAAAAATCAGAAAATTGCGTTACTTACTAAGATCTGGTCAAAAAAGTTTAAAAATTCACTATCAATTTCCTCATCAGGATGGAGTAACATGGTACAGGTTAAAAAAATACATTAATAAAATAAAATGATTATATTCAAGTCATTAAACATAACTATGCAGAAGTTGTTACTTGTGATTGGACCAACTATTTTCCAATTTCAGTTGGTGCTCAAACACAGGGTGGTTTGAGCAAGCATTTTCCTATTTTAGTTGGTGTGCATCAACAATCAGCTTTAAGCCCATATCTCTTTGTTTTAATCATGAATGTTTTTACTAGAAATTTGCAAGATGATGTACCTTAGCATATGCTTTTTGCTGATGATATTGTTCTTGTTGATAAAACTAGAGAGGGAGTTGATCAAAAACTTGAATTATGAAAGTCAACTTTAGAGTCTAACGATTTTTATTTGACTACATTTAAAATTGAATGTATGGAGTGTAATTTAAGGAAGTAATAGATTGGGATTGTAATATTGGGTGATCAAATCATTAAAAAGAGTGCATGTTTTAAATATCTCGGGTCTATTGTTCTAAGCAATGGAGAAATATACAGGGATATTATTAGTAGACTATAAGTTGGGTGATTGAAATTGAGGAATGCATCAAGCTTGTTGTGTGATAGAAAAGTACCCCTCACATTTAAAAGAAAACTTATAAGAAGATGATGCGACTTGAATGCTTTATGGAGTAAAATTTTGGCCATTAAAAGAGAAGCATAAAATTATGTGTTGCAGGGATGGGGATGCTCAAGTGAGTAGGTGGATTAGTGGCTTTAAAGTTAGAGACAATGTAAAACAAATATATACATAAGAAGGTAAGTAAGAGATAAGATTAGAGAGAGTTGCCTTAGATGGTTTGATCACATAAAATGTCAGCTTTTCAATGACCTTATTAAGAGAGTAGACATATAATATGTAGTCTATGTTAAGAAAAGTGAAGGTGGATCTAAAAGACTTGATTGGAAAATATTACAAATGATATTTTTCTATATTCTATTTAAACGAGAATTTGACTATTAATAGGACAAATGGAGAGAAAAGATTCATAAAGCCGACCCCATGTGATCCGATAAAGACTTATGGTTGTTGTTGTTGCTATTGTTGTATTCAACTGTTTTCAAACTAGTTGCCCTGGTTTATAAGGGCAGGGCACATTAGCTCCGTGTGATAAAAAATAAATTTTAATTTCATAAAGTGATGACTTTACTCGCAATATTGAGCCTAAAAAGTCTTAATTTCAAGTTGATTACAAATTTCATGAAGCCAAATGATGAAATCTAACAAATTCCATATTCTTTAAACCAAGTTTCTATAACCTGATGGTTGCTATAGATGAAATATCTTGCTATTGATAAACATGCACACATTTCACAGCAATCACCCAATCCACATCAGTATTCCTGGAAAAACTGCTCTCTAATATGTAAAAAAGATGCGTAAATCTAAATATCAAACCTAGAACTCTCACAACCATCTTACAACAACTGGAATTTCAGAAACAAACTCATGAAATGCTCAGCTAAATTGATAAAATTACATGCACATTATTGTAGTTCTAGTTATTAGGGGTTATTTAGAATATAATTTTTATACATTCGAGAAATTAAATTGGAGAAATGTGATATTTTAAAACTAAACGAGCTGCAAATGATAGTTGGACTTCTCTGAAATTTAATCTATCAGGAATAAAAATCATTGACTAAGAAAAATTCTTCCATGTAGCGCAATTTTTGTGAAGAGATTATCTATTTACCATTTTTGCATGGGATGATTTAGTTAAAACTAAGAACAAAATGTAAAGCATTGATATTACCCACAGGCTAGATTTGACTACAGCAAAGCTGGACTTAGCAAAGAATACTGCTGTCCACTTTTAAGCCTAAATATAAGGCTGCTAAGTAGAGAGTCGCCTAAAGAAGAAGTTTTTTGTGTTTATTTATTCTTCAATACTTCCCAAATTGAAGCATAGAATATGTGATCCCACCATCCACTCTATCAATAAAACAATATGATATGACGCCAAATTCTAACTAAAACTACACTATAGTCTCCCTGAAATGAAAACTAAAATTATACTACAAGTGGAGAGTGCTTGAAATTACACCTCAAATGGTGAATATATCTCATGCTTGGTAAGATGATGAAGAGCATATGTTTATATTTCCAGTAGTATAGGGAAGATTCTTGCACAGCAAATATGGATATAAACCGTATTATAGTAAATACAATTACCATGCAAAATGTATATGATGAGAAAGATGAATGCGTTGCTACTTATTATTTATAAAATATTAGGGTAATTATATGTATGTTAGGCTGTCTCTGAATAAGAAGCAAGGTAACTAAGTTTACGGGGGAGCACTAATACATACAACAACAACATCAAGTCTTTTATCCCACTATGTGGGGTTGGCTACGTGAATCATTTTTCTCCATTGTCTCTGGGGGAGCACTAATACATGCTTTATATTAATTGATACATAGGATAGAAAGGGTTTAAACCATAGAAGTCATGAGCTGTTTCCTCCGTTCAATCAAATTTTTTACTTTTTTAGCATTTTTTCGAAATTTAAATGATTTGATACTTTGAAAATGTAGCGCACGTAAGGAATTGTGGGAAAGGCATGCGGTAGATAAAGCTAGTAGTAAAAACGTGGGCCATAACAAGAAAAAAAAATGCTTCACCTTCTCTTTCCCAATTCTTAATTTCTATTCATTTCTCGATCCTCTAGTTTAAGTTTTTTTATTAACAATGCTTAGTTAAATCAATAAAATTTTATTCTTATGTAACGCTTTATGGCATTGAGAATGATGAGACCTAACGAAGGCAAAACCTCAAAAAATAAAATTTGAGAGCATTTCACCATAAAATGTACTTGACTATAACTATTGGACCAATATATTGTATATTCTAACAGCTGGTCTATTTTGATAGTCATTACCCTCATCCTAAATAGATCACAAAAGGGACTATTTCTAAAAATTTTGGGATTAGCTTTATGAATATTCATTTTTTTATAATTTCTATTGAGTCCTTTGTCAAATGTGCAGCCTATTTTTTGCACTACAAATAAATCACACTACGAAGACTAATTAACATTTATTTATAAAGATGTGTCATAGTTATGTAGCAAAGAAGACAACATAGAAGGTTTTTAGTGATTTAGCAATGAGGCTTACTTCACTAAGGAAAGAGCAAAGGAGGTGTTTGAACTGATCTACCTCCTGATGGTGAGGAGAGTTTGGTTGTCAAGAGAAAGACAAGAAGAAGAGAGTGGAAGGACACAATATAGAAAGTAAAGTAGTTGAACATTAAGACCTAAATCCACCATAGCAGAAGGGGAAGATTTCACAATTCTAAATATAAAAGATTACAATCTCTTCTTCTACAAATTCTCACTCTTGGATTGCTATCTAGCAAAGCAATAGAGCTTGATTTCATCTTTAAGGTTGAAAAGTCTAAAGAGAACGTATTTAAAGGCATCTTTCCAGCCTGAGGTGATTTTGAGGAGAAAAATGAGATGTGAGCCACGAGCAATCGAATCTGGCAGCAATAGAGTTTGTAGTTCACATGATGGGCTTGGAAACTGATATACCCTACATGTCAGACATCTAATGATCGGATGATTGACAAAGCAGTGAAAATTTATGTCAAAGAGATTGATGCTAAGGAGAATATTCCTGGTGTGGCCATTACTCCATACAAAAAATGGATACATGGCACTTATTGATGACTTAATCGGGGAATGACAATGGCAAATACATTATAACAAAAAGGTGGAATCTTCTAGATCTCAAGAAACAAATTCAGTCAAGGAAGAGGCATATTTTGAACAAGCATGTTAAGTTTGATCCTGTTAGTAGTTCCTAGATGATACTATCAACATGAAATGATGAAGAAGGAAAAAATTCTTGAGCTATCAAGGATGTTAACTGGCTAGTGAGCCTAGAATTGGTCAACATTCTTAAGGGCAATGTTGATCTACGCATTGGGGTTGGACTAGCCCTTCCGGAGAAGCATTATAAATTTAGCCAGATCCAAATGTGAAGTAGACAAAACTAGAATTCAAATTTCTAGAAACATAGACACCTATGATGAAGTGCATGGAATGAGTTGTTTACATTTCCCCTTGCTTCAAAAACTAATAAATAGGCATTTTTAATGGCTTCGAACACACCTTTCAATGAGATTGATGCTAAGGAGAATATTCCTGGTGTGGCCATTACTCCATACAAAAAATGGATACATGGCACTTCTTGATGACTTAATCGGGGAATGACAATGGCAAATACATTATAACAAAAAGGTGGAATCTTCTAGATCTCAAGAAACAAATTCAGTCAAGGAAGAGGCATATTTTGAACAAGCATGTTAAGTTTGATCCTGTTAGTAGTTCCTAGATGATACTATCAACATGAAATGATGAAGAAGGCAAAAATTCTTGAGCTATCAAGGATGTTAACTGGCTAGTGAGCCTAGAATTGGTCAACATTCTTAAGGGCAATGTTGATCTACGCATTGGGGTTGGACTAGCCCTTCCCGAGACGCATCATAAATTTAGCCAGATCCAAATGTGAAGTAGACAAAACTAGAATTCAAATTTCTAGAAACATGGACACCTATGATGAAGTGCATGGAATGAGTTGTTTACATTTCCCCTTGCTTCAAAAACTAATAAATAGGCATTTTTAATGGCTTCGAACACACCTTTCAATGCCCATCTTATTTTTCTTCTCCTATTTACATTTATTAAATTCCTTTGGCGCTCGTAGAGAAATGGCAAAGGCTTTTGGATTCAACAACTTTAAAGTGATGCTTGTGAGGAAGAGATAGAAGATTGAGGAAAAAATGGCAGCGGATGAAGAGA